GGCCCTCTCCGGCTTGCCCACACCGCCAGTATCGTTTCGAGCGGAGAGAAGAGTCTGACTGGCAGACTCGTTATTGACAGGAATTAAATTCGATGGGAAGAATGGAAAAACATCTCCCCTTTTTCATTCACGTTTGATTTTGGTGAAGAGAAATGTTAATACCGACAGACACGCAAGGACTGCACTGCCATCCTATCGACGTAAGGAAAGAGGACCCCACATGGAAACGCCCCTGTGATCGCGAGGGGGGAGGCCAAAGCTCGAGGGGTGCAGTCATATGCATAGCATTCCAGGGAAAAAGAGAAAGTCGATAGATAAGTGATAATTACGGATAATCATTTGCAGAGTACCACAAGTCAGGACCAATTATACAGCCAAATTTAGCGACACAGAAATAACTCATTTCAACATGAATCCCGCATTGCTGACTCAAAGAAAATCTGACTGAAGAGCAGTCTGACAAAATGAAGAAAACCCCAAGCAGCACGGAGAAGACATGGATGCCGACTCCCCGATTCTGAACCCCAGAAGATTGTGGGGCCCGGGGGGGAGGCGGGGGATGGGGGGGGCAGATCGCAGCATCCACTCCATTCACCTGTTATCACAGGGACTTGCTAAGTCACATTTTTGTTTTCGTCCAGGCTGGACTTTAGACTATAAGCTCAGTGTATGACTGCATGCATCACATATCTGAAGCTGACAATAAAAGACACTTTGACGTTGAAATTAAACAAACTCTTGCTTTTACTGTTCCCCCAAGTCTGAGCCAGTTGGAGGGGGGGCTCAGCCCGTTCCTTCACCTGAGCTGAAACTTGAACCATAGGTCAAACTGAGGGCCTGCTGCTGTCACACACCAGACTTGTCTGTCTCTCCCTTTAACGCACTGCAGATTTTTATCTGGTCTGACCTGACACACCAAGAGGAACACCCAATTCAGCTGCTACTGATCACAGAGACGTATTCAGGGCCGGGTGAGCAGCCTGGCATTTGGGATGGGGAGGTAAGGTGAATTGTTTTGACTACCTGTCGATTAACAGTTTATTCACATAGGGGAAGGTCAGTGAGTCTCATCTGCAGACGATCCAGTTTCACAACAACGTTCAGAGCAAGGCAAACGCTCAAACACGTACGCTAAAGGTAAGCGGGGGTCACGGATGGGACGCGGCCCGAATGGAGAGAGAGACACGTGGGACCATATTTGTTTTTGCTCGCTACAGCAGTAGGGGAGATGAAAACAACAGCGACCTGCAGGAGGGACCGCGCTGTCTGTCGAGCTCAGTAAGCAATATGCTCCTGTGGGAAGGTTAACAGGCTGAGGGGGTCGGCTGTGACCCCCCAAGGCCATAGAGATGTCTTGAACATTCACATACAGTGTAGGCGGCTCATTGGTAACATCAAGTGACGTTTCCATCGCCTCACCTTCCGGATCCTTCCCCTGACCCAATTACCGCCATGGCACTGGACTCCCACTGCGGCCCAGGGGTTGGAACCCGGATCCCTATGGAACCTAGAGATCTTAAAATCCTGGGATTCTTGAGAACCCAAAACTGAAAATCCTTCGAAAGGTAGACATTTGGTAAAACCCTGAACCACTGAGCCCAACAAGCAAATTAAACACAACCAATTCATTGACCTCGCTTAACAATTACCCTCAAACCTCTTTCACCCAAAAACAGGCTTACAGCATAATCACTGCTCAGCTTAAGAACAATTAGATTTAATGTTTAAGATACACAGCATACAAACTTCTCAACATACTTAGCACAAAACAACGTCCAAAAAACTTCAGATTATGATGCATATTCTACTAAAAAGCTGAACGTATCTAGATTACTTACAGCAATCCCTTGATATATAAACAAAATAAATTCCTTCTGTTTGTAAAATTTGAAAACATAAATCCCATTAATTACAATGGTAATTATGTTTAAGCGTCCTGAAGAGTTTTTCATGGGAAAATGCAACTTTCCTCATGTATGCACTGCCACTGAGATGGCAGCCCTGGGAGAGACCAGAGCCCATGTTGGTAGATTGGGAGCCTGTAATCTGAGCGCTCCTGCATTGTGACGATGGACAAATCCACCAAGCCACGGACAGACAGAGATTCATTTACAAGCATCCTCAGAGGTGCAGAAGCAACACCAGACATACACACCTAGATCATCAGAAGATGATCCAACTTAACACGCTCTTATGGTTAGACTTCTATGGTTCAAGGACGCCCCAAGAGCCACGAAAAGGAAACGGGACTAGGAAAGCAAACTTTTTACTGCCTTAAAACCACACTGAGGGATATTTTTTGTATATTGTAATGTGGTTTAGCTTGGATAATATACTGATACAGAGTGATGCTCCTTTCACATACTGTAGAACCACAGCCTCCTTCCTGTAGCCAGAGTAATAAGGAAAAAAAGGGGGAACAGTACAAAACACGGCCTCTGAATTTACTCAAAATGAACTTAGAAGATCTGCACCTTTTGTCAGGAATAAATCTGTAAAACAGTGATTCCCAATCCGGTCCTCAGGGACCCGCAGACAGTCCCCGTTTTTGCTGCCTCACAGCTCCGGATGTGGAATGTCTGGCAGGGAGCTGGGATGGAGCAAAAACGTGGACCGTCTGTGGGTCCATAAGGACCAGGTTGGGATGCACTGCTCTAAAGTAAACTTGGTAGTGTCGCGTGAGGTTGGAAGACCACTAAGAGGCTAAAGCCACACCGGCCTGGCTGTCCTCGTAAACCTTGCACAAATGAAGAGAACCACCAGCCCACGGTCCTCCAAACAGCACCTTGGCTAACCAGGCCCTGGCAGCAAGACGGAGGAAGCACTCGTGTTTATGTCCATCTCAGAGATGTGTAATCAGCCCTGGATTGTGACACATCCCCAAAGACGCACTAGCAGCACACAGGGACCCAGGGGACACAACTCCAGCCTGCCTGCACATCCCAGAACGCCTCGAAATTAATCCGCCCCCAGCTCATCTGAAACACCTTTGAAGGATGATACTACAGCGGCAGCGAGTAGAAGCGGGGCTGGTGTTTGGGGCCGGTGATTGGGGCCCCTGTGTAGATGTGGAGCCGGTGATTGGGGCCCCTGTGTAGATGTGGAGGACCATAGGGCACAAACACTCAGTGCCCATTCACCAGAACCTGCTCGCTCCCCTGCCAGTCCCTAACCCTTCAAAATAAATCAATTAGCAGGGGGAATTAAACACTGCTGTATGGAGCTATCACTGAGAGAAAACAAATTCGGTTATGTACAGTATGAAAAGCGGGGCACCATGTTTACTGTGAACTGTGAAATGCAGGACACTCATTCTCCAGGGGGAGGGCAGTGGTTAGTTCTGACATGCACTTGAAAGGACCAGAGAGTGCTGTACATCTCTCCCTGACCACTAGAGGGCTCCGTAGCATGAGTAACAGTCTGCTGAGACCAGAGTGACCTCGCAGCTGTTTTCGCTGCTGCAGATCGATGAGAGCAGGCCAGCAGAGGAGCTGCTGTCGTGTCATGTACTGAACCCAGGTGAACTCTGGGTAGCGACCTTCTCAACCCCAAAGCCGTAACGGAATCAAACCACGGATCGTTTACAAGTGAGGGTGCTGTGTTTCGAGATCGCTCCCAAACAAGAAACAGATGTAAAATACCTCCTGAAAAAGTCACCATCTCCCTGGTCGTTTAAAAAAAAAAAAACGTTTTAAATGAAGAAATTCAATGGCAGATCAACAAAGCTAATGAAAAGATTTACTTTAAAAATGTCAAGTGGCATACTTGGTATTCCCTTGGATTCCATGCAGAGCTTTTTCCCTCAGACATAAAGAGATTCCCAGGATGAGGTAGGGATGAAGGTGTGTGATTCCACTAAACAGACCGACAGACCTTGGGGACAGACCTTGCCTTGAAATCCACATGCTGAAGGTCCTTCTTTAAACCTGGAAGCTGTGCAGCGTAAATGGACCTGGCTACAATATAACAGACCCAGCATGTGCAAGAAGGCCGCTGCTGCAGGTAATAACCGTCTGTAACCTGTGGATACGCTGAGATCACATGCCTGGGCGCTACAGAAGAACCTGTCCGTCCAAAAGATGTATTAATAGGCAGGAATGCAAGCTTATTACAGTACACGACTCACCTAGTCATATGGACTGGGAGATGTCTTTAGGTATCACACTAGTCCTGATGGCTGATCATTAAAAAAATACGGAGGGCTGAAATGGAACATCACCCCCCCCCATATACATCAGGCGTGTATTTACACACAGGTGTACTCCCACACATCAAAGTGAAGGTGACAGCGGGAGATTTCTGAGAATTACCGTGTGTTATCAGACTCCCTCCCCATGCTTATGGCAACTCAATAAGTGTAACGATGATAAAATTTCCTGGGGACATGACAATAAAGCAGTGTTTCCCATCCCGGTCCTGGGGGACCCACAGACGGTCCACATTTTTACTCTCTGAGCTTCTGCAAAAACGTGGACTGTCTGCAGGTCCCCGACGTCCGGATTGGGAAGCACTGCGATTAGCTACGCTGGCTCCCAGAGGCTGGATGGGGGCGGGGGTGTCACTACGACCACCCGCATGCATGTGCCCACAGTGAAATCAGAACTGAATTGAAAAATTAAAGCGTTCGGTTATCTAGGCGGACTTCCCAAGCCCAGCGGACAGGGTGCCCACATGAACAACAGATGGTAAATATTTTTATATTGTGTTCCATTAAAAAGCTTTATTAACTGGACAGACGGCACAAATGGCGCCAACCCCCACCTCTGTAAACAAGAGAAAAAAACTCTGAAAGCTGCAGCTGGGACGATAAACTAAAGCGAGATTAGGGGAACTGTGTTACTACACACGAGTAAATATTTAAGTCCATCTCTCACTGAAAAAATGGTGGAGGGCAAAGATGGGGGGTGAGGTGCCTCAATGTGCTGTCTCCCCATGACGGTGAGAGCTTATAAAGTGGTAGTTGAAGTCTGTAAAAGCACTCTGACCCCCCCCAACGTTACCTCAGTGGCCTTCTCGGGGGCCTCGCTCCCCACCACGTTGGCCTGGAGCAGCTGCTGCAGGAGCTGAACCTGGGCCACGCTGAAGAAGAAGTCCAGGCTTGTGGTCACGTTGACTTCCAGGGAATGGCCACACACCACGATCTCCTGCGGAGAGATGCGCGCGACTCAGCGGCCTTGGGCCCGTCACCGGGGACTCCCCCACAGCCCACGCCCAGCCTGGAGCACACGGCCCGGGGGGGGGCGGGGGGGGGAGGGCAGGGACGTTGCGGGGTGAGTAACCCGGCGCACTGGATACCGGTGGCTACACAGTCCATAATATTTCTCAGCCTCCTCATTTTCGCTTATGTGTCGCCTCGCCTCGACTTGACTACTTGCATGTGAGTCACTCTCCATAATTTTCCCCTAAAGTTACCATCTTGGAATCCCGCTACCTTCTGTAAGCTGCGGGTCACAGCATCTCTGAGTGCAGATTGTGACCCGAGACCCTCAGAGATGCCAGGATGGACACGTGGCACAACACAGGAGCCTGAAACGCGTACCTCCTGCGGCACAGAGCGCTGTGAGGGGGAGGGGGAGAGGATGCAGTCGTGGGGAAAAGCCCCGCCGGTCTCCAGCCGCTCACCTCCACCTGGGTGTTGTCCAGAGTAGCCGGCTTGCTGAAGATGATGGCTGGAGCCGCCGTCACCCGCACGGAGAAGTCGGTCAGGATGGGCGTGAGGATGGCCCGTCTGTCCTGCTGCCGTCGGATGCTGCGGGGGCAGAGACAGAGGTGTGTCCTCCTCATTTTCCATGGCACAGGGAGACGTATAGGCAATCCCCCCCCCCCATCCCCCGGGGTGCGAAGGGGGCTGTATAATAGGTCCATATGGCCTCAGTGAAGTAATTACTTGGATAGTAAGTCACATTATCTAAGTGCAAAATCAGCCAGGAACCAAAAGGTAAACACTAACCTGGACTCTCAGAGATCGAAACTACTATGCAAAACCTCAGAGATGAACACAGACACAAAACATATGAAAATAGACAAACACACACATACCTATGTAGTAAACACATACACACATTGTCGCAACCAAAGGGCGGCACGATGGGAGAGAGGTGGCACAGAGGGGAGAACGTCTGCTTCACACAGGTGGTTGTGGATTTGAATCCCACCACTGCTCAATGGGCCCTTATTATGTTCCTGCAGGTTTCTCTGGATATTCCAGTCTCCTCCCAGAGTCCAAAGACACACGGTTAACTGGTGACTAATTTGGCCTGCACATTTGTCGGCCAGGGTATAATGCAGCCCTGTGCTGTTTAGGATAGACTCCAGGTGACCCAGACAAGGATAAGTGGTTGAAAGATGGATAGATGGATGGATGGATGGATGGATGTACGATTAATAGACCCAGACAAATTTGAGTAGAGGATGACAGAGAGTGCCCTAACAGCGTGAGGCAGAGCCCCCACTGGGCTTGGATAAGTGTAACAGTATGTCAATCAAACTGGTTGTCATAGCAGGACGGCCCTGTGACAGGACAGGGGGTGGGAATTTGCTCTCTTGTGGACACGTTCCAAGCCCCAGGTTGCCTGCACATCCACGCCTGGAATCCACCTGCGGATCTGGTTTCCTTCTGCATCCCTAGTTGACCGGATTTTTCTGAGAAGCGATCTATGATGTGGGTTCCATGAGAGAGTTGGGTTAACAGAGGCAGCTGGCTTTTCTTCTCCGGCTCCTACAGCTGCTGAAGCCGTCTAAGTCAGTGTCTGCCAACCCGGTCCTTGGGGACCCTCAGACAGTGCAGGTTTTACCTGGAGCTGGGAGGGAGCAAAAACGTGGTCTCTCTGGGGTCCCCACGGACCGGGCTGGGAAACACTGACCTACAAACTACAGGCTGCTATTGGAGGTGATGGGAGGGCCTTTCTGCAGGGGGACTTGTTTTCTTTGTGAATTTTTTTTTCATCACAGGGAGCTCAGCAGAAGACAACACACTAGGTCAAGGAAATCTCATCTCAACCCCCCACGCCAACCACCTTGAGTGGAGAAACATTAAACAATTTTTAAAAATACTACTCAAATTAGCTCAATAAAATAGCAATGCAACCACATCCCTCAAAATTACAAATAAAAAAACACTAGTATGAATTTGCAACCTATGAAAAATTTGTAAAGTGGACTTTAAAGTCCCTCAAAAAATTTCAGCTAAGAGCTAAAATAACCTTAAGAACAATGTCTTGTCTTTGACAGTCCTCTATTGGGAACACACCCTAATTGTATACACAAGCCCCAAACTGAGACCCTCAAATATAAACTTTCCGCGTTTCCCTAATGCTCATTCCCACAATCAAGTCATATTTGTGGGAACATTTGTTAGCAGTAAAACAAATATACCAGTCTGCTTTATAAGGTGCTGTTAATTGCCACATCTGCTGCTATTAAAACAATCAAACAGCAAAGCTTTCAATATTTATAGTCGGGGGGGGGGAGAATTAGAAAAAGATGGGCGAGCAGGACCACACGTCAGTGTCATGCCCTGCTGCGTGTCTGCAGTGCCGGGAGGCGGTGATCACCGGGACTCTCCAAGGCAGAATAGGAGACACGGAAGCGAGACACTCTGCCAAGCAGGAGAATGATTTGCTGTGCGGTGAGCTGGGGAAGGAAAACAGCCACCAAACTGTTCATTACTGTAACAGGCCCAACCAGCAATGCAGTGGCGGGCAGTGCACGCAGCCACCGTTTACCAAAAAGCCCGGCACAGGGATGGAGTGCTGGGGTACGGAGTGCCGGGGGAGAATGTGCACTGCGACTCTGTTTTCCGTAACACTGTAACACACTTTTCCGTAACACGGGATGTTCCACTTGCTTGGAAACACGAGGTACAGACATGGTCAGTAGGGAATCTATGAATCACCAGCACAAACGCATGGGGTGGGTGTGTGTATGGGGGGGGGGGGGGGGGGGAGGATGTGACAGTGACAGGCCCGGTGAGGAAGGTACAAAGTTGAAAGCCCCCCCGAGGCAGAGTGGCTCCACGGAACGCCGTTCCGTCACGCCAGACAGATCCTGTCAGTGCACGACCGTGGCTGGAATTTCCCACACAAAAAACCTCAGGAAGCCGAAGCCAGTGCGGCAGCCAGGGAGATCGGCAACTACTGGAATTAAATGGGAGCAGAAGGCCGTCAACATCCGCAATTCGAGCTGACGAGGCCAGGGTGCCGGGGGGTTAAGCCAGGGGAGTGCCACTGTGCAGGCTGCACTACAGACAAGACGACCCTGAAATACACTCCATCATGTGCACAATTCAAAAAGGGGCCTTTATTTTTTGAGTTGTTTTATATATATATGTAGGTCTGTGTGTTTGTGTTTATCTATATCCTGTTCTTTTCCTCTAATCCTCTAAGTATCACCAGCCGTTACTTGTAACCAGTCCACCTCAATTTGCATGTGAAGATTCCAGCTTTGCATTTCACATTCAGAAAAGACCATAACGTAATTCGGAGATTCTGGCTGAATTCAAAGTGCATAAATAACCTGATGATTACACTCTATTTGGTCAAATTAAGTCAAGCGTAACTGGGCCAGAATAAAAGAATCCATCCAATTTGGCTGGAGTCTGCGGGCCCTCAGACACTGTCAGAACAGAAGGTTGTTGATGATCGGGTCTTTAAGAACTTATCAAGCAAAGAACAGCTTGATAGCCAATCCTGGTGCAAATATTAATGGCAAAAAGTCAAAGTATTGAGGTTCTGTAGAGGAATGTGAGGTCCAGCCAACGTGCAACTTCCATTAGATGCAGAAAAACCAATTCAAAGCTTCACTGCATCATTTAAACATCCTCAACTGAGATGTTTATTGTATCGCTCCCAAGCTATCTCCGCCTGCCGATCAGACTCGAGATCCTTCTGCACCATCAATCACTTACTTAAAAGAATCGCATGGAAATTTCACGGGCCGGTGGGGGACCCAGGGTGGGCGATGAGGGCACAGGGAGCGGCAAAGCCACACACCAGCTTGCTTAATGGCCCCTCGCTTACCATGACAACCGCAGCTGGCCGAAAAAAAAACAACAGGAAATCGTTTGCTACTGGAAGAAGAAGATGGAAAAGGGGCAGAGTAAATGAGGCTGAATTCCTTACAATAACACCCAGACTTCGATCCTGAAAAATCTCACACCGACAGAACGCAGCAGTCGCTGGCACTGTGCGACCTCCTCCCGGCTGCACATTCCTCATGTGCAGCCGTGAGCTCGCGCCCCTCGATTCCACGCCCCCGCAGGTAGGTCGGAGACGTCCACGAGGACCTGATGAGCTCCCGGGAGCTCTGGTGACCCGGAATCCTCTGCTCCTGCGAGCCCCCGCCCACCTCGGCTCTCCGACCCTCTCTGTCCCTTCACCGTTATTTTTAGCAGACGCGCAACGGATCTGGAATCCCAGTCTCATATGTTTCTTGGGCCCCCTCCCGCTCAAAACACAAGCAGAGGAAAACGGGGATCGCGAGCCAAGCGGGCCGTGAGACCCGCGGTTGTTTTAGCTCCCGGCTTCATAAAAAGCCACAGGGTTTGCAGTTACGACGCCGTTTGGAAAGGAATTTAGTGAAACATTACAGGTTTATCCCACGGTTAACTTCAGAAGGATGTGACTAAGACATTACACACAGATTCAGAGAAAAGACAAGTGATTTCACTAGGGCTGCACTGGCACAGATGAGACCAGAGGGTCTGTGTGCTGCTTTTTAATTGATTGAAATTTTCTGAGACAGGTGACAGAACACTAACTTGAACAAGGGGGATTTTGTAAGAAATGCAATTACATGACCTTAAGCCATGCATGACAGGAAACGGGGCTGCCTGCTTACCTGCTGGCCATGTTCCATTCCAGCGCGGGATTCTGGGAATTCCTCTCGCTCTCTAGCAGTGGGCCCCCTTTGGCCCCCTCCTTCTCAGGCTTCAGCTGGTCCCAGTGGGCTGTGCCAGTGTTGATGCACTGCAGGTCCACCTGGTACTGCCGGTCCTCCACCTCTGAGCCCGGGTCCCTGAGTATGCCCAGGTTCAGCGCCCGCCTGAGGATTTTTTTTTTTTTTTTGGGGGGGGGGGGGATTAAGGAGGGAAAACAAAAAGCCTTCAGTTACTGAACCCTTAATCTCACACTGTTGAGTTAAACTGCAAATACAAAACAATGTTTTTGCTTAAAGTTTTATCCAGCTGAGCCTTTCTCTGGTTATTTGCCATTTCGCCCCGTCCCGAGAGCCGTGCCCCTGCAGCCCCCGCCGGGTAACCCTATACGATGCAGTCACGGCCACGCACATCTGACATCATAGGTAGAACCTCCGCAGCATGTCATCACCGCTTCCCAGAACCCCTGGGGCTCATTTTAAACCTATTATGGAACATTATGAAGCATCTGCTATTCAGGGATATCGACATCACTAAAAACGCACTGTTGACAGGGAAAGATTCCAATCCCACAATGGCATGACGTACATCTGCGGCGCACAGAGTGAGCTGAGTGGGTAGCCAGAGTTACCCTGCACTGGGGCGCGGTGCAGAGTTATAACACACATAGGCATTAAAACAGGCAGCAGCTTCTCCAGCTGGACTCGAAGCAGACGTGGGTGCGAGGTGCATGCAGCCAGAGGCTGTCTGCATGGTTCCAGCACACACTCGGGGCTGTAAGTGCGTTTGTCTCTTTCGCAACCTGACAGGTCATTTCGCAGGCTGCTATGCAGACAGGCTGAACCCTAGCAGTGGGCAGGTACCACGATACAAGCCATGCTGAAGCACAGGGGACTGGCACAGGGGACTGGCACAGGGCAGGAACCACAGGGCGGCACTGCCGTCTCCACACTCTGCTTCATTCCATCTTAATTACACCTAAAAAGAACATCTCAGTGGCACGTAGGGGCGGATAATTAACACCAGCACCCTCAGCCAGGTGAAATTACTCGCTGTGTTTTTTTTTTTTTCCTCCCCCCAACGCTTTGATTTGTGTTATCATTACCGGTAAACAGCTGCTGACCCAGCCAGACAGCACGGTAGTCTGAAAGCTCCAACCAGGCCTCAAAGAGAGCGCTCTATACACAAACGGCGAGCGCGGAAGGGCCTGCACTTCGTCAGAGCACGGATTTCTCCTGGAGCTAAGTGACCTCCCCACAGGAGATTAACTCTATTAAACAATGTCGTCATTTATTATTGTTTTTTTTCAGAGACAAGATGCCGCAGAACGCGCGAGCACGGGGGGATCGAGCTTTACATCTGCGGATGACATCAGAGCCTGTGCAGTTACGATATGTTTATTTGTCCTGGTGAATTCCGACGAGAGCCCAAGCGCTGTAAATAAGGGTCAGGAATGGCAACAGATGTCGTGGCAGTATGGGCAGCCTGGCCCAACTTCGGCTACGTCAGAGGTCAATTTCTTACGTTGCTCCCTCCGTTGGTAATGCAGTGAAAATTCATTAGCAAACAGAAATGTTATGACAATAATCTCCAAGTACAAAAACAATGGCACGTGGGAGTTCAGAGGAGTATTAACTGGATCTAACCAGCTATGCTGACACACAAACAGCACGGATACGTCTTTAATTAGTAACCAAACCTAATGCCTTTGTCGGTTGTTTCCACGCGTGGGATTGTGGACCTAACATTGTAATGGTTTTGGAAAGGCAAGTCAGCCCAGACACACTCTGAAAGTATTTTTTTATTATTAATTTTCCTGAAGGCTGTGCAGTTACCTCATCTGGAATCCTAAGGATGTGTTCGGTTTGGCCTATTAAGGAAATCACTGTTGGGGTTTTTTTTTCCCCCCCTCCACTAAACTCTCCAAGAATTCTACGGCCAACGTCATTAATAGTACAAACACCATGCGAGCAATACTTGTCTTGGTTGTGTAGCACGTTAAATACAATAATTTCATATTGAAAGGCAAATTTCAGCCAATTTGAGGCCACCGAATGAGCCTGATTTCTGACAAATTAGAAGAGGATGAATTTCGATGCGACCCGTGGTCCGCGATAATAATCAAAACCAGATGCTCCTTTCTAAAACGTGAAGGGGGGGGGGGGCAGGGAAAAAAAAATTCTGGCATCTGCCATATTTTGATAATCTACATGACGACCACACGACTTGGCCACGAGATACGAGATGGAGGAGACCCCAGGCTGAACTGAATCACGCGGGACAGGTGAAAGCCGGCCTCTGCACACTTTTACGGGCCGTTTTTAAACGTGTGTGAAGCTGGAAGGGAAAACGAAAACAACAAGCTTTAAACGACACGTGCGTGGAATGGAGGGGCACAGAACGGCTCAACGTGAAAAGCTGCCGCGGCCCTTGTTCCTGAGCCAAGCCGTTTTAATGGCAGGAAAAGACCACAAAAACATTATTTTTACGACTATATTCTGCTATTTATAACAATGGATCAAAAGCACAGCAATAAGAGAGTTCTGTTTCATGGTAAGAAGAGTTTTTTCAAGAACATTTCTGTTGTGATGCAGCTGGAAAACAGGCCTGGTGAAGGCTGGCATCGGGAACACAATGGCACATGACTAACTGCTAATGAATTAATGAGAGCTTCTTATTAAGTATTTCCCAATAACGGCTGGAACAAAACTTTGGCCAGGTGGCCGCAGCAGCGACAGAACACACAGACCAATCAGCTAGTGTGCTATACTACCAAAGTCTAAACTGTTAGAGACATAGGAAATTTACTTTAGCATGATGGACAACCATTTCAATTTTCCATACACGTGCTGGGTAAAGCTGAGGGCCTTTGACAGAGCACGGCCCTGTACTGCTCCAACAAAATTCTGACATTTTGGAACACCAGTGAGTGGAATTCTAGAACAACCAATAGAAGAACTTTGGAATGTTCTAAAGACACAATGCATAGCAGTAGCTCAAGTGCAAACAGTCCAGATTCCGCAGCACACCCCCTGGCAGGACAACAGAGGGGCAAACGGACATGGTCTTTGAGACAGAACATAACTAGAACCCCCTGACTTTCTCTCTGTGGTGACTTCACCACAAGCCCAAGAGAGAGAGTCCTGCAGTGAGATGGGGAAGTGGGAGGTGGGATACTCTCTTTTACTCTGAGGTTTCAAAGGTTAACCATGGTTCACGGTAATAAAACAAACCACAGTGAGCTCTGGACTGGAGTTACTGGGGTCCTGCGCAGGCTTGGTTCAAGCTCGGTTAGGCGTAATAACCCCAGTCCAAGGCTGTGGGAGGCCTTGGCTGTGGAGGCAGGAAATGTCGGGGTAACGCAGTACCAGCCCAGGAGCTTCTGGAACTCGTCACTACACCCGCAAACTGAACCTGTTGCACGAACCTGCTTTTTCCCTCTGCCGCATTGGCAATCAAATGCAATACATGCCTGGTGACACACAGGCGTATGTGAAGGTGAAGGGTGCCCCCGGCCAGGCACAGAACATGGAGCACAAGTGGAAATTCAATGTTAAACTTAGCTTACTGGAGTATTAAACACGGGCACCAAACTCAGAAGTGTTACAACACATGTCCTTTATTCATATTTTAAATGGGAACTTTGGGGGACAGCACACGCACATATACGCACACACACACACATGTATGCACACACACACATGTATGCACACACACACATATACGCACACACACACACATGTACGCACACGCACATGTACGCACACACACACATGCACGCACATGTACGCACACACACACACATGTACGCACACACACACATGTACGCACACACACACATGTACGCACACACACACATGTACGCACACACACATGCACGCACATATACGCGCACACACACACATGCACGCACATGTACACACATGCACAAGAAAATAGGTTTTTATCACATTGTGGGGACAAATGTCCCCACAATGTAATACATACATAACATATACACACACACACACACACACACACACACAACACATATGGTAGTGGGCAGATGGAGACAGTTATGATTTTAGGCACCAGGTGGCTTTGTTGTACCCATACCATGCATACATAACGCACACACACTGCCCACTGTGCTAGTCTCCCTGACTATGCACACACACACGCTGGACACACACACCACTATCCTGCCAGCGCTACAATATTAAGCCCATCATTTACTTATTTTTTTCGAGACACAGTTCTTTATTTTTCCATATCCCATACAATTATATACATTTTTAGTAGCGGTATTAACATATAAGGAATTTTACTCCTCAGCAGAATCAAAATTAAGTCAGACCAGCCACATTGCCACACTGTTAAATACTTCTCGGCTTCTCATAAATAGCATTTGCACTATAAACTGGAGTCTCAGTCATTATTCGTTCAAAACAATCAGACAGTTTTGCTCAGATGTGGGACATCTTTAGCAGTGAAAGCACTGCACCAAGCAAACCGCAGCCTCTAAGCAAACTGGACAGAAACAGCACTGCACCAAGCTGGTCATGTGGGAATTGATACAGAATATGATTCATGAATCTCTCAATTACTTAGTAAGTTAAGAACCCTGACTGATGGTGGTCCGTTCCAAATTGCCTGAGCCCTATGACTTCTGAGTAGCAATATGGCAAAGATTTATTGTTTCAGTCAACTTCAATTACACTTAATTTGCATCTACAATTACAGTAATTAGTGCTCCGAATTGGAACACTGAACAGTCCTTCACCAGGGGAGTTTACAGCAGCAATGAGTTAGCGTAGTTTGCGTTCGGTTCCAGCGGCCCCCAGAATGACGACAGCAGATGACAGAGAGGATGATGACATGGCCAAGGTGAATCCCGGCGGGGTGGGGTGGACCAAACCACTTAATGGGAAATAGGGGGAACAACGTATGCAACATAAACATCCTGTCTACCAAGCCGGACACCTGGAAGCTCAGGTTTGAGCTTAAATCATAAAAAGAATTAATTCCTGCTTGTCTTTTATTTTTTAAGACATATACTTGGGCCGCATCAACTCAATGCCACTTTTTACGTAAAATACAGGGATGTTATCCAGCAGAAAGCAGTAACATCACAGGTGTGAAGTCAAGAAGACGACATCATAAGACGCCCAAGTCACATGTGGTGCGA